ATATCCAGAGCTAGAGGATTAGTGAGACATTTCCCACCGTGTGCTCTCTTTCTCTCCATAGATTCTGACGGTAAAGGATGCGGGTACCCAATGACGGACCCTCCAAAATTTGATGTGATTAAGGACGTGGTGATGCTGACCCACCTCAATGAAGCATCTGTGCTACATAATCTGAAGATACATCACTGGATGATGTATGTAAGTCTTAAACAGCACTTCAGAATACACATTGGAGGGACCACTGGTCTAGAAGGATGACATTGCTTTATAGCACTGACGCAAACTTATAAAGGTATATACGCTGCCATCTTAATAACTTCCGTCTCTACAGGAATTAGTACCTTCCCTCTGAGATTACCTCTAATTTATTCTATTTCATTCATACATTTTTATTAGTGAGTTGTCTTATCTATTAGACTATGAGCTCCTTAATGGTAGGGGTTATTTTTTGCTTTTTTTTGTGCTTAGCATGGTGCCTGGAACATAGTAAATGCTTAATAAATGCTTGTTGACTTGACTCTATAGCACTGTGTGGTTTAAAAAGCTCTTTCCTCCTAACAGCCTTGTAAGGTACATAGTACAAGTATTATCAGTTCCATTTTACCGATGAAGAAACTAAGGATTAAGAAGAAAAATGACTTGTTCAATAGTATACAATTAAAAAAGTGGTAGGTTCAAATCCCGGTTTAGCTCATAGGTTCTGCAAAGTCACAGTATCACTTGATGAAGTTCCTATGTCCCTTGTGGGATTGTGGTTGGATCTGGAGGCTGATTGATGTAGCACTGTTGTTTGGTACTTTTCCTTAGGCTCTGCTAGTTCTTTGTGATCTGTAGCCTTCCTCCTTGCTTGCAGGGCTACGTAGCTTTCTCATTTGGCTACATGCTTGGTTTTACTTCTAGCTTCCCTCAGCCTGGCTATCTACCTGCCCCTGATCTGCCTGGTCTATCAAAATGCTGTTATCCCATCATTGCCCACAGGGAAACCTCATTTCTCTCCAACCCCAACCTCCCCCCCCCATCCACATATGTGCCATTGGGCAGCTTCCTATCTCTCTTGGCTGGGAGAAGGATTTACTTCTACTCTTACTGATACATTCCTTCTACACCAAGTTGTACTATGATACCACTTGTGGGTATCCTTCCAGTGCTACTACAAGATGAAACTAACTTACTCCATCCATATCTCTGAGGTTTGCAGTTCCCTCTATGGCTTTGAGGGTCATAGAAAAGTCTTTCCATATGGTTATCTGACAAACAAACACAACAGAATATTTTGTTATCAGCATGGTAGAATGAACTGTGGTATAAACATCTCCTCCTCACCCTGAAAAACATGTCTCTAAATTTCTTGGGGCTCAAGCTACTCTCCTGTCCTAACATACCTTGTGTTCCCAGAATCCCGAGTCTCTGGCTCTGAAAAACAAATTTTGTCAGACACGTTAATATTTAGCAGATCTCCTGGGATAGAGGCACACTAAGATTTCTTTAACTTAGATTGGTTTTTTTCTGTTCAGAGATCCCTCCTGTATAAGATGTCCAAATCCCTTCTTTCAATTGCCCCTTTGTAAATAACTCTAGTAACAATGTCAGCAGAGAGCAGAAAAGCAGACAAGCCTGATTAGATACAGGGATATTTTAAAAAATTTATTTCCTGGTGTCTACTTTATTATCCTCTCTAAGACTTATTCAGGTCTCTTCTATGTCAACATAAATCCTTACAAATGGCTTCCAGTGTATTAGACAGAAGTTGCTGCTGCCTACAAAGGCAAGAGGTGGTAGGAAGCTCTCCCTCATATCTTTGCCATTGACGATAATGCCTATTATGACATACTATGCAGTAAGTTGCTTTTCTGCTATCTTAAGTAAAATTTACAATTAAATTTTTTGCCTCTATTGCCAGGATAAGTCATGTTTTTTTAAGTGTGTAAATGGGAAGTATTTATTCTACTGGGTATTTTTAAAATTTGGAGTCCTAAGTAGAGGCTGGAAAATGTAAATAAAGTACGAAGCGTGCTCTTCTATTGGATTTGTACCACCCCATCTCCCTTTTCCTCATCTCATCAGGCAAAAAGTTGTATATTTGTCCTACCCACAAAAGGAGGCAAATGCTGTTTTACATCATTGTGAAATCCCACCTAACTGTGGGATTCAAAGAACTCTTGGATAAATTCATGCCAATGTATAAGAGCTCTGATATAGGGATACTTTCTAATGACATTTCCCTGTCCTTGGTAGAGCAAGAGAACCAGTCCATTTTGCTCATGGGAGTATATTGCGTTTATCCCCTCCTCCAGGGATGAGAGTTATATTAAGAGCAGACACCTACATAACTGAACATAAACCTTAAGCTGGTTACTTGGGAATGGAAGGGAGGGATTAGATTAAAATGCAGTCTTTTCCAGGCAAGAACAGGGAATTTCAATCAGATGAGCAGCTGCCATTTCACCTTAGAATCATTGACTAATCTGATTGTGGTATGGAATGGCTAAGTCATCTCTTAGTACTCTCTTCAGAATCTCTAGATCAATCTAATCCAATCCAGTCCAATTTAATCCAATCCGATATAATCTAACAAACATTGACAAAACACATACTTTATGTAAGGCAGTGGGGATACAAAGATAAAATGAAAAATAGTTCTTACCCTTTTTTTGAGGTGATTGGGGTTAAGTGACTTGCCCAGGGTCACACAGCTAGTAAGTTTCTAAGACTAGATTTGAACTCAGGCCCTCCTGTCTCCAGGACCAGTGCTCTATCCAGTGTAGTACCAAACTGCCCCAATAGTTGCTATTAAGGAGCTTACCCTCTACTGGGGCAACAGATAAGACTGTTCTTTTTCATTTTCCTATTGGAGACATGTCTCTAGTGCCCAAATTTGTCAACAAAACAGTTTACACTGTGGATAGCATCTCCAGTGAGGTGAGGCACATTATGGAGTAAGGGCAAGAAGGGGGCTTCCGTTGAAAGGGCTGGAAAGGAAAGAAAACTCTAGAGGCATTTTGTGCTCATGCTTCCTTTTTGCCTGTGACAAATTGATTAAGATGATAACAATTTTATCAGAGAGGACACATCCACATGGCAATGTAATCTCAATGTAAGATGTCAAAATTGAAAAAGACAAATACCAAATGTGGTATAGTGGATGGAGTACTGCACTCAGTCAGGAAGACTTGGGTTCAAATCTTACTTCAGACACTTACTAGCTGTGTGACCCTGGGCTAATCACATAATTTCTCTGTGCCTCACTTTCCTCATCTGTAAATAAAACGAGGGGATTGGTCTGAATGGTCTCTAAGGTTGCTTCCAGTTCTAAATTAATGGCTAATCTCTATGACTATGATTAAATTAAGAAGTACTTTGGGTCACGGATCATTCTATACAAAGATGGTAATACTGCATACGTGAGGTCTTTGATATAGCTTCCAATATCACCTGTGTTTGAATTGACCAGGGTGATGGCTGTGCTGTATCACCCTCATTCGTAGCCACATTTGTCTAGTTTCAAAAAGTGAGATGGTTGTCACAGGGAAAGAAGCAGTGAATACTTGCCTAATACGAGGAGTGGTAAGCTACTCAGAAGTTTGATATTATCATTTAGTACTCCCTGAGAAAGAAGATAAATTAACACGATTAAAGGATTACTAGGATCATAGATCTAGAGCTGTAAGGGAACTGAGAGATCCAACTTTCTTTTAAAATTAAATTTTATTTTATTCAATTTATAAGCATCTATTTTCCCTGTCAACTCTCTTTTCCCCTCAATAAAAAAACAAACAAAAAAACAACACAACAAACTTGTAACAAACATTCATAGACAAAAAAGAACAAAACCCACATGGGCCATGTCTGAAATGTATGCCTCATTATGCATATTGAGTCCATTATCTCTCTGTTAGGAAGTAGGTTGCGTGATTCATCACTGGTATTCTGGAATCGTAGTTGATCATTATGTTGACCAGATTTCTTAGGCCTTTAAAACTCATTCATTTATATAATGTTGTAATTATATAAATTGTTCTTCTGGTTCTGCTCACTTAAGTCTGCCTTAGTTCATCAGGTATTTCTAGATTTCTCTGAAGCATGCTTTTTGTCATTTATTACGGCACAATAGTACTCCATTAAGCCATATTCCTTATTTGCTCAGCCATTCCCCAAATGATGAATGCCTCTTAGTTTCAAGTTCTTTCACACACACCCCCCCCACGAGTTTCTATAAATCCAACTCCCTTATTTTACACATGAGGAAACTAAGGCCCAGGAAGGCCATGACTTGTTCAGATAACAAATATAGTGTCAGAATTAGCCTTTGAGCACAGATCCTCTGGCTCCAAAATCAGAAGTTTTGAGCAATTGAAGATGAGAAAGAGGGCCATAAAAATACTTTCTGGGGGCCTTAAATTGTCCTAGGAGACATCACCTCATTGGACACCCCCATAGTCTTAGAAAGAGGACACATTGGTGTTTAGCATTGGTGTCCTGCTCAGCTATGCCACTGACTCTTACCAAAGCAGAAGAACTGGAGCTGGGAAGACTGTGAATACCAACTGTGTCATCTAATATTTTGCTACCCTTTCAGCCACTGGTGAATCCAGCAAAAAAAAAAAAGTGTAAGCATGACTCATTTTATCAGCCTTGGAAAGAAATGTAAACATGCAATATTCCCATACAGTGGCCTTTCCAACTACTAGATCATAGGAAATCCTTCCTCGACCACCCAGTAGGTGCAGGGATCACAGAGGTGAGAAGGCAACAGAGTGGTGGTGATGTCTCCTTTCACCTCTCTTACCTTTCTGGGTCTTGCATGTGATGGTCTGATCCCTTGTCATCGTTGTTGTTTGTCTGTTGTTCTCAAAGAGGAGCAATGATATCAGGAGGGGGATGTCTTGACTTGCACCTGAATTGGATTTAAGTGAGGCAGGGCTGTGCAAAGTCATCGGTCTTCTTCTCTCTCCTCCAGTCATTGAAGTCCAGTGGCAAGACAAAAGTCAAAATGATTGGCGATGGCCAAGGATTCAATAGGTTACCTTGGCCTTTCTAAATTAAGGTTTTTCCTAGGCCCATTCAAAGACAAAGGGCTAGGTAAGAATTGAGACAAAAGATGGCCTAATATACCATAGCAAAAATATCAGTGTGGGAGGGGAAGACCCTCAAAGTTAAAAAGAACTTTTCAGTAAAGAATATGGTATGGGACCAATGGCCACAATATTCTAGGAAAGTGGTATGGACCTTGAAATAATTAAGACCTTGTCCCTCAGTCTGTCCAGTCATTAAAAGACCAGCTCAATAAATTCCTTTTAAATACATTCTATCTTCAAGAACCAGTCATTACAGCAAACTCATCTGGAAAAGATCGATTAATCTGATCCGATGCACCTTTCCACTATGTACATGTGAAAGGTGTTTACTAGACTGCTCTCTTAATTCTTGTACATTCTGAGGGCCCAGTGCTTAATTACAAGGCATTTGAAGGTCTATCCCATTTTGCCAAAGGGCTTTGTGCATTATCTCCCTACAATGATCTCTCTTGAGATTGCACCATTCATTCAATTGTTTTGAGGAGGTTAGACCCTTATGTTCAAGGCCCAGCAAAGTAGGCTTCTTTTGCTCTTTGTTTTACTGGGTATCAAACTCCAGCTTTACTAATTTCTTAGAGGACATCTTCCTCCTTAGTCCTGTTCAGAGTTTGAAACACCTGGGAATATTCATGTTCTGTCTTTAATTATCTATTCCCCCCCCCCTTTTTTTGGGTCCATTTCCAGCTCCAGCTCTTGAACTGAGCTGTCAGGGGTGAGTAGCTTTAGTTCAGTGATATAGTGACCAGGCAAATTGTTATGCAAAATCAAAATACATGAAGCTGAATTAAATTGAAAGTCAACCAGCTATTGATCAGGGAGAGCCTATCATCCTTCTAGGATTGCTGTTGTTATTGTGCTAAAGAGAATCCATTCTTTTTGAACTCAGATTTTAAAGTTTATCCAAAGCTTTTTGCAGATATTAGCTGAGAATTTCTAAAAAGTGGTCTGACTTTATAGTTAAAACATCAACTATTTATTTTGTCATATCTAAATAACTAAATCTGGTTGCCTTGCTGTGGCTTCACCATTTCCTTTGCTATTCACTGTAAAGGACTTAACTCTCATCAGGTGGAAAGCTGATAGGGCCCACAAAGCTCAACTAATTCAACATCCTCAATTTATGAGTGAGCCCACTGAGGGGGAACAAAAATTAAGTGGTTGTTCAAAGTCACACAAGTAGTAGACAGTAAGGGTGGGATTTGAATCCATGTCCCTTAACTCTAGTGCCAATGCTCTTTGTACAGAACTACATTGCCTTCCTTTTTTAAGCCCCTTTTTGTCTAGCAACTTACCACTAAGGCTGGAGGTAAATAAATGGTTCCACTCTTTTAACAATCTTTTAAAAAAACTTTTGCTTTTCTGTGGTAATGTAGAATATTCTTTAGATTATATCACTGAGATAAAGATCTCATCTCATTAGAGCTAGTCATAGGCTTAAAATGTAATTGACTTCTGGTTACTTGGAGAAAATAGTAGGGTTTTAATAATATTACAGGGAAACAGAGATTTGCATTGGCCAGAATAGTACACACAATCTCTCTCTTTCTCCCTTTCTCCTCTTTCTTTCTTTCTTTCTTTCTTTCTTTCTTTCTTTCTTTCTTTCTTTCTTTCTTTCTTTCTTTCTTTCTTTCTTTCTTTCTTTCTTTCTTTCTTTCTTTTTCTTTCTTTTTCTCTCTTCCTCTCTCCCCCTTTCTCTCTTTGTCTTTCCCCCTCTCCTTCTATCCCTCTCTCCCTCACTTCTTTTTGTCTCCCCCTTCTTTTCTCCTTCTTTTCTCCATCTCTCCTTCTTCCCCTCCCATACCTGTCCCTTTTCCTTACCATCTTTCACGTTAATGAATAGCTTATGCTTTATTATTAAAAAAAAATCATTTTGGCCTTTGTCCATGAGGCTGTTGCCACAGCCAAATCCGAAATGCTAGACTAATGCAACAGCTTTCTAATTATTCTCCTTCCCTCTAGTGTTTCCTCCAGCCAATTCATCCTGCCTGGCATTCTGAGCTGCCTGCAAGGCCCAGCTCCAAAGGTTGCTGGACTAACCTTCTATAATGCTTATGGTCTTTGGTGCAGTTTTGCACTTGATTATATAGTGTCATTTACTCTTTTGTATATATAGTTCTCTGTTACTTGGTAGGTGTTCATTTTGTTTCCCCAGTTATAAACTCCACAAGGCAAGCTACCATTTCTTACTCCTTTATCTCACCTTTTTACTTCTCCTTTTTCTTTCTCCTCTACTTCTCTTCTTTCTCTTTCTTATTCATCTTTTATTCTTCCTCTTCCTATTCTACCTTCATTTCCACTACCAACACCTCTTCCTCCCTCTTATTTCTCCTCCTTTTTAGCCCCTACTTCCTCCCCTTCCATAGTATCTTCCACTTTTACAAACAAAACAAACATGATGTTGTTGTTCAAGCTTCATTTTTGAAGAGGACCCATGAAATCTGGAGTGATGTCTTGCCTAGAATATGAATTGGACTAAAGTGAGACAAGAGTTACACAAAGTCATCAGCCTCACTCTCTCCTCCAGTCACTGAAGTCCAGTGGCAAGACAAAAGTCAAGATGTTTGGGCATGGCCCAGGGATCAGTAGATGACCTTGGCTTCCTCAATGTCTGACCAAGCTCTAAGCTGTCCACAGTGCCTGCTTTAGCTGCCTTCATGGCCACTGGAACAAATTGTTCTGCTGGGGGAAAACTTAACATACTTGGGGTAGACACCCCCTTAACTCATCCATGGGTTTGAGACCTGTTGGTTACCCTCAGCCTGGTTTAGCCCATCTGCAGAGATGGTTTTACCAGGGTGGGGCTGTTGTGCACGCTACAGCTTCTTGGGGCCTGTTATGAAGTAAAGCAAATATGTAGGCATTTAATAAATCTTGACTTCATAAACATAGTAGGGGACAAGTTGTAAAAAAGAAATTGTGTCTGAAATAATCCTTTGCCTTTTCTACATCTAAGCCAAAGTAAATAAAAACAAGATGTACGGGACATGGGTCAACCATCACTCACAGCTACAGAAACAGTGAAACTGAGTACACATACTTTTGGCTTTTCTTTTTCTGGACTTTTATTTTCAATGAATAAACATTTGCTTTATCTTTTTCCCATCTCCACTCCTCCATTGGAGAAAAAGGAAAAATGAGAAACACTTTAAAAAAATATGCTCAGTCAAGAAAAGTAAATTTCTTATGTTGGTAATGTCCAAAAATATATGTCTAATTCTACATCTCAAATCTATCACATTTCTTATCAAGTGATGGGTCTGGGTAGTGTTCTTTTTTAATTATTCATTTTTTTCTTCATCATTGGCTCTCTGGAATCATAGTTGATCACAGAATTGATCAGAGATCTTATTTTTTTCAAAGTTTTTTCAAAGTTGTTTATCTTTATGATGTTATTATTGTATAAATTATTCTCTTTGCTCTGTATACTTTACTCTGCATCAGTTCATACAGATCTCAAGTTTCTCTGAAACCATTTCTTTGGTTAATTTTTATAGTACAATAGTATTTCATTTTAGTCATATATACCATAATTTGCTCAGCCATTCCCTAATTGATGAGTACCTCCTTAGTTTTTTATTTTTTGCTAATATAAAAAAGCTGTTATAAATATTTTCGAACATATGGGTACTTTCCTTCTTTTTTGATCTCTTTAGGGTTAGTAATGGTAATAATAGTGACCTAATAGTGGTAATGCTGGATGACAAAGAATATGCAAGATTTAATGACTTTTGAAGCATAGTTCCAAGCTGTTTTCCAGGATGACCAGGCCAATTCATAGAGCCTTCAACACTGCATTTGTACAGTGCATATGTTTTGGTTTTTTTTTTCTTTTTACGTGTTTGGGGTTAAGTGACTTGCCCAGGGTTACTTAGTCACACGGCTAGTGAGTGTCTAGTGTTTGGTCTGAGGCGGGATTTGAACTCAGGTCCTTCTGACTTCAGGGTCGGTGCTCTATCCACTGCACCACCTAGCTGCCCCTAGCTCATGTGTTTTTGAAGACCCATTTACTGTCTGTAACAGATATTTCAGAGTGACTATGTGTGGATCCTGAAAGTCAGAGCAAGCATACTTGTTCTAGGGAAGGAAGGAAGATTTGCCACTTTATGCTACGTTGCTGAATTGTTTAGCTGTTTTGTTCTTCCTTTATAAACCTTTAGGAATCTTAGAATATTAAACCCTATAAGCCTTTCCTGCCTCAGAAGATTTTAGAAATACAAAAACTTTGAAAAGTGACAATTTCTCTTATTTTATAAGCTCTACAACTTGTTTCAGGACTTTCCCAAACTATCTTTATTTATTTATTTATTTATTTATTTGTTTTTATGTTTGAAAGTCAGTTATATGGTTAGATCCAAGACCACTGATGTTCTGACCATGAACTCAGGGTCATTAACCAGACCCTTGGTATATAACCTAGAAATTCCATCAACCTTTTAAAAGCTATTGCTAAGCTAATTAGAGCCTGAAATGAATCAGGAAAGAGCCTTCCATTTGACAAATTCATAAGGAAAAGGATTAAGATCATGATATGGTACTTGACCTCCAAAAGATGCTATCGACTAATGCCTGATGATGTTTAGAAATAAGAACAAATACCAGTCATGTGCATATCTCAAGTTGCTATTTATACTGTCCAAAAGACTCATCTGTTCTTCACTAAAGAAGCTCATTCAGGAAATAATAATACAGTAACAATCTATACATTTGTGCTTAAAAGTAGGTTTACAACCATTATTCTATTTTAGTTTCAGAGCAGCATAGAAAGTTAGGAAGGGGGAAGGCACTTTTGTTCTCATTTTGTAGTTGAGAAAACTGGGATTCCAAGACATCAAGTGATTTTATCCTTGCTAGTAAGTGACAAGGTAAGACTGAAATTCTGTCTCACTGACTCCCAGCACGGTCTTGATTTTACAATACCACACTACCTCTCTGTCATCTTCCTGCTTCAATCCCTTGCCAGCTGATTCAATTTTCTACCTTTTCAGAAAGTGGTCGCCTTGAAAA